GATCTGGACATACTTTTATTTCCTTGTGTGACAGCCCAGTAGCCATCTAGTGCAATGCTGACTTCCCTGCAGCTTATTCTACTGCACTTGTTCTCTGGTGGTGTATTGGATAGTAGGCTCAAAGCACCTTTGAGGTTTTTAAAGATTTCACAGGTGAGATGGAGTTCTTCCTACCTCTGACTAGATCCTGAAACATAAGGATTGCTTTAGAGTTCATTGTCTGATACTGCTCAAACTGTCAGAGAAAATGAAGGTAGTGTGAATTAAGATGCTGTCAAAGGTGAGCAAATGCCAAAGGGTAATGCTGATGTCTCACACTGGGTCTGGCAGGACATCTGTCTTTAGGTAGTTATGGGACTGAGGGTGGTGATAGTGGCAAGGCCTGGATTGGGCTAGTGAGGAGAGTACATTTGGGAATTAGCATTGCAGTTGGTACAGATACAAAATTAGCTGTTGAATTCAGATTAGGTGGCTTGCAGTCTAAGCAGTGCTTAGAGCATCAGAGCTCCCGGTGAGCAGAGCCCAAAAAACACTGGGATAGGAACTTCCTTGTGGCCCTCCAATGAAGCCTAGGAGGGGGAGGCTGGAGATAGGCTTTTCATTCTCCCATATGGAGGCAGTATTCCTGTTCAGCCTCTTGTCCCAAGCACTGTCTTCCTCTTAATTAGGAAAGCTGTCTTCAAGACGGCTTATTGTCTGGAACTGCAGTATTACATGACTTCCTTCTTCTTGCTGTCCTGAACTTGGAGATTGGGTCTGGGGAGCCTGCAAAGACCCTTCCTGGAGGGTATTGTGCAAGGCTACCTACAAGGCACAATTGCAGCCGGAGGAGGTATTAGTGTCGGCACACAGCAGAACTACCCCCAGAAACCTGTGACCAGCTCTTGTTCTGCCTCAGTTTCTTTACCTGACCTGAATATGGCCTGGCTTTGCTGTACACTGCTGGAGTAGTAGTCTGTTTACAGTTAGTCTGGTTGAATGCACAGTGACCTATTTGTGTAATTTCTGTATTTTGAAATATCATCCAGAACTATCTCTTAATGCTGAGCTGTATTTTGCCTGTGCAGCCTAATAGTTTTCTATTAATACTTATCTTAGGTCTGATCCACGTAAAAGTGCAGTGTCAAGTAAGGTTCTCATGATATTTTTAAGCAATCTAACCTTTGGTCCTGGCTAAAATCCAATTGGAATAATTACTGTCTGACTACCTACATTCCTCTTGCATTTTCAATTGGAGAAGTTAGCTTTCACTTCCCATTTGAAAGTGATTGTGTAACAATGCTCTGCAGTAAGTACATGCTGCATTCCCCTACAGTGGTGGATATATTTTATTGGTAAGTAAATAAGATTATAGAGGTATAATGATTTTACTGACATGTTTATACCTAAATATAGATATGTCTGGAAAACCACTTTATTTAATGGCCCTACCATATATTATTTTCTAGGGAGTCAGAGACAATATAATAGTGTGCAGTAATGTGTAAAGGATTTTACCTACCAGTCTGGAGTTTGGGATTTACCAAACTGTTTTGGAGTGTCAAAACCACAGAAAATACTTCGAACACTGTGTTGCCCCATACCACCTCTAAAGGAAAATCTGCTCATGTACAACACTTGGTAATAAAATATACTTGCATGTTTTTATAATCATTCTTGACTGGTGAAATTACACTGTAAAATCATTAAAATTTCTTGAAATGACAAAGGCTAAATGCCCTGTTTTACAGCTGTAGCCTTGTCAGGTGCTTATGAATTTATTTGTGTGTGAATTTCTCCATCCTGCTTTTTCACTGGAAACAGGAACACACTTAGAAGGAGGTCTGTATGCTGCCTTCAGTGCTTTCTTAATTGAGTACCTTGAATGTTTGCACTTGAACACCGTGGAAATCATGGACAAAATGTGTTGCTCTGTCTGCAGAAACACATTTTCACAGTAGTTTTGGAGTCCCCTTAATCTGATAATAAGTCTGTGGTTGTTCATGCCTGCCTTGTTTCTACTGGCAGATATTCAAAAGGGACCTCCAGTGAGCCAGACCAGAGGAGGAATGCGAGGTGAGGATGGTGTTGGGATGTCTGTCCCTCCTCTAACAGCCAGCAGGTGCATGTGAGCAGATGTGTGGAGAGTGGCTACTGATGTGAACACAAGCCAGCCCCAAAGTGGGAAGGGATTGTAACACCATAAAACATCCCTGATTTAGTCTTTGAACAGCTCACCCCTATGCTGCCTTGTGGGAGCTGAATGGTGAAAACCACACTCAGCCCTAGGGTGGGTGTGATTTATTGATGTTCTCCTCCCTTATCACATCCCCAGCTCCCATCCTATAAGGGAGCCCAGCCTGGACCTGGTACCTGCTATATTTGCTTAGAAGAGCACTGCTGTCTCTCACACAGACTGCCCATGGAGCATCTGAAAGACCTTGTGAGCATGACAGATGTGTAATGTGTGAGTGAGAGATGGAGAAAGGAATGTCTTGGCTAGTACAACACAGGTTACCTAAGCATTGCTCTGCCTGATCCAGGGAGATCTTATGGCTGAGGATCCAAATTGGAGATGGCAGGTTGGCTACGGAGCCACAGACAGCCTCATCTGTGAATTAGATTCTTCCTAGTCCTGGCTGCTCCCTGCATATCTGGCCAAAGCCTGAGGATCTGGCACTGTGCAGATAACTCCATCTTGTATTGAATGGAAAAGTCTGCCTGAGTGGGGCACAGACACCCAGCAGATTGGCACCTATGTGCTCTTCAGGATCTGGGCTCTCTTCTCCTGCTTGGAGGTAGATGCTAGTGATTTATTTGCCTTAATGCAGGTGAAGAGCAGGGAATAAGTTTCTTGGCTGCCATTTTTCCCACTGGGAGAAGCATGTGCTTGGGCGTGAAGGCTGACAGCTGCCATGACTGCCTGTATAGCTCCTGCTGGGATGCTGAGCCCTGGATTGGAAGGCCCTAAAAATTATTCCTTGTGGGAAAGGGGCTGGGAAAAACCTACACTCTCCTCCCTGGGCACCACAACTAGGCATTGCCTAACCAACCATAATACAATGTATGAGTTGATGCAGAGGGACTGCAGGAGACATATTTTAAGAGAACAAATATAGCATTTAAGTGAGTGAGCAAGAGAGTGAGAGACAGCGTATAGAGTGCATTAAAGTTAATAAAGCATTGCAGAAATGGGGACTGCATTTCACTGTGAAGGAATCTAATTTAGTGACTCGTAATTGGAGGATAACAGTCATACTGGAATGAAGTTAACTGGTCATTTTGCCAAACTCTCAAAGTCTCTTGGTTCTCCTTGTGAGCATCTCTCAGAAAGTGAAGCCTTCAGAGAGCTTAGAATCGATTGGTGCTTCGCACCCACAGTCCCTTTCAGTTTCTTAAGTGGATTTGGTTTCTCTGGTGCATATTTATTCTGTATTTTATTATCTGCTTATTTATCTGGTAATCTCAATGCAGGATACATCCTCTCTGCTTAGCATGACAATGAGGGAGCAGGTGTGTTAAGCCTGTGTGTTCTTCTGGGCAGGGCAAGATGGGGCCTCTTGGGCCTTTTCCTTGTGGGTGGCTACTGTCAGCTAGGGTTGTTTTTGGACTTCCTGCTTCCACAAAGTTTTCCCAGCATTGTTCCTGCTGCTGTGGCTTTCTGTTAATTTGATAAAGGCATGTGTAGCAATGGACAGTATGGAAGGATCCCATTCTTGGACATCCAAGACCAGAGGTGTAGCACAAAGAAGTGCAGGGCTGGGGTATTTATTTCAACCAGTGTGCCTAGGTGCTGAAAAACAGAATTCTGGGCATGAGTAGCTGAGCAAGACCTGTTGTGTTGAGGGAAAATCTTCTTTAGTTTGAAATGCCCGAAATCTCCTTGGGACATCAGTGTGGGCACACCAAGCAGTGCTGCCTCCAACAGGTATGGTAGGCAGATGGGGGGACACTGCTCTGTTGTCTTTGATATTTACACTGCATGGGTGCTGTAAGAATTAGTTCATTAGTGTTTGTAGAGTGCCTTGAGGATGAAAAATGCTGTGGAAATGTGAACTATTATTAAAGCGGGACTGAATAAAGAAAGAGTGAGAAACAGTCCCGCAGGGAACTGTCCCACTCAGGTAGGGGCTGGAGAGATGACCTCATCATGTTTTTTCATCTCTACTGTTGTGGTTGCAAAATAAAGTGGACATGCTCAGGGAGAAGATTAATGTAGCATGCCTGGCTGTAGTAGCTCGGGGTGAACCACTGTAAGGTCTGTTGGCATTTCTACTTCTGTGCAAACACAGCTGTCATGGACTTGGGGGATTCTGATCCAGTTTTGGTCATGGCAGCTGGGAAATTTTGTATTCCTGTTTTTCTTTTCTTTTTTTTTTTTTTTTAAAGATTTTTGTATTGGTGGAAAGCATATGGCTGACTGTACTATACACTGGACTCTGTGTGTTCTGGTGGTGTATGCAATGGACACACATACATACACATCCAGTGACCTTGCCCATTTGTCCTCACTTTATTCTGGAAGGACTGTGCTGAGAAAGGGAGTCCCTGTCTGCCTGGTCTCCTCAGTCTCCCCGCTTGTACCTCTGGCATAAGTCCAAACTGATCTCAAGTACCAGTCATTCCTTTGTGTTGAGGGTGAGCACTTGGACATGGGCTTGACATAAGCAATTAATTTCACAAAGACAGCTGATCAGCTGTCAAAGGACAATTCTCTATCACTTTTGACTTGGGTCTCAAAGTGACACAGGACCTGAGAGATGACATGATCCCATCTTCTGCTGACAGCTGTTTTCTTAAGTGATGCCAGATTCTGAAGTAGGGGCTGGACTGGTCTGACCCCCCAACTTTAACAGAGCCCTGAATGTAGCCAAAGGGCTCAGTATCAGACTAGAAGGATTGTTGGGGTGAGAGCTAGTGACTGAGCAAGATCGATGGATCTATCTTGAAGGCTGAGTGCATGATTGACTTGTCAATTAATCACTTTGTTTTACTTTCCCCCTTTTTCCTTCCTCACTCAGGGAGTGTAAGAGCCGAAGATGAGGCCCAGGGTGGAGTGCTACTCTCCAAGGTTTTGGCTGGTGCTGGCAGTCCTCGCAACAACAGGGAGCGGGGCCCATGCCCAGAAAAGCCACCCGAGCATTGGCATTGCAGTCATCCTGGTGGGGACCTCGGACGAAGTGGCCATCAAAGATGCCCACGAGAAAGATGACTTCCACCACCTCTCAGTGGTGCCTCGGGTGGAGCTGGTGGCCATGAATGAGACGGATCCCAAGAGCATCATCACCCGCATCTGTGACCTCATGTCTGACCGGAAGATTCAAGGGGTGGTATTTGCTGATGACACAGACCAGGAAGCCATTGCCCAGATCCTGGACTTCATTTCTGCCCAGACTCTCACTCCCATCCTGGGCATCCATGGAGGCTCCTCTATGATCATGGCAGATAAGGTAAATTTAAATGAGCTTCCTTCTATTGTAGACCTGTGGATCCAAACTTAAAACAAAGAGAAGTATCTTATTCTGTGATCCTCAGGTGATGTCTCATGGGGCCAAAGGCTTGGGGGATTAGACAGCTTCAGATTCAAAGACAGATTAAAAGAGCTAACTGTGTGTAGCACTACTGAGAAGAGCCTATTAATCATGTGGAATTACCTGCAACAGAGAAAAACTGAGGAGGGAAAGAAGCAGGTAGAAGAGACCCACAAAAGAATCAGCCCTTTTCTTCTTCTTTAAGAAGGGTAAAGGGCCCCTGACAATTGTGATTTTTTTTTTCAGGTTTTATTTTTGCTTGTGTTTTACTTTAGAAGAGCCAGGATCATAGCCAGGGTTTTTTTCCTGCATGTAGCTGGAGGACATTGTGGTATTTTCAGGGATGCTTAATACAGCTCTTACATCTTAATTGGAATATAATTGAATCTTTAATAATGCTATCCTCTCTATAAAGTGTTCATTCGCTCCTGAAGTTAAATAGGTGTTAGCTGAAGTGACTAACCAGTCTGAACCAGGCCTGCTAAATCTTTCTTTTTTCTACTGCATTACTTTATTCCTTCATGTCACAGACATTTCATTGTATTCCCAGGCCCTAGCCAGTCTCTAAAGAATTACTACACAAATAAGCCATCCTGCTACTGCTTTTGAGCAGGGCAAGATGCAGAGAGGGAGTAGCATCTTTCACAGGCTAATAACTCAGCCTCCATGGGGTGCAGGTGGACCTGACACAAGTCTTCCACCTTTCACAGACAGCACATGCAGCAATTCACACCTGAATGTGCATTTGGCCAGATAGTGTGGCTAGCAGTGGCCTTGGGGCTGCTGTTGGCCAGTGGGAACATGCGGGAGAAGCTGGCTGTCCCTTTTCTGCAGGCTTGAAACCAGACAGTCAAGGCCAGGGCTTTTAATGAGGAGACCCTCTTGATTATTCTTTGTGCATCCCAAAGAAGTAAATAGGAACACAAGCTGACAGTCTTTTTCTTTTACAGATGGCTCTTAAGTGAGTCTGAGACATTTGACTAGGCAGAATCAGGCCTAATTGAATGAAGGGTGAGAATTGACCTGGGCACTATGGCAGCTTTCCCTCAGAAAGAGATATAGTGAGATGAGAAATCCTGGCACATTCTCTTTTATTTACCTTGCAAGTAAATAATCCAGTGCAGGCTATTGAAAGTGCTAACAAATTATTTTCTCACTTTTTGACCAACTCTTCAGTTGCCAAATAACATACAGTTAGTATGCAGTGTTATTTTCTTGTATTGGCCTTCAAACTGAAACAGTCACTGAATAATCATGGACCTTTTTTCTCTCACTCCTTGAATAGTTGCACATCTGCTAATTCCCACTGCCCCATTCCACCCACAGTGAAGCTTTTCTGCTTTGGAGGTCAGGCAGGCAGCAATGCTGCATCTTGATTTTCTCTTGCCTGCTGTGTTGCATGGAAGCAGTGCTCAAATGCTGCATTACACACTTGGGGTGACATCTTGCATCTTTGAACAAGTGTAGGAGTTACTGACAGAAAGCCTCCTAAGCACTGGGAAAAGTCCTTGTGACTTTGAACGTGGCAGGCCAAATTCTGATTTCAGATTCCCACAGTGTAAATCCAGCACGACCCCATTGCCTTTGGCAGGATTAGATCAGATTTACACTGCTGTAATTCAAAGAGAAATTTGGCCTATTGAACTTTGAAAAGATTTTTCTTTCTACCTGTCCCTAGTCTCTCCTTGGGAAGGCAGCATCTCCTGCCACTGCCCTGTGTACCCCACTGGCTTGCTTCTAAAGAGCATTCTGGCAGGCAGGCAGCCCACAGGGAGCTCAAAGGTGGAATCCTTATGAATGGAAACTTTTGCTTTAGCAATATTTTTCTTTTCTTTTTTTTTGTGTGGTTTTGCAGACAGGAGGTTTGCAGGTTATGTACAAAGATCTGCAGTTTTAAGAAAGGCCAAGGTTTCTTTGAAAAATAATTTGAAAAGGCTGACCTTTACATCTTCTGATCCACAGGTGTGTAATCTTTAATGGATAATATTTATTTGAGGAATTGAATTAAAATATGGTAGAGTGTAAATACACTGAAATTCTACTAAAAATACAGAAGTCATCCTGGTAAGTCCTTTGGCAAGTTATTTTCCATAGAGGGCCTTGACGGAGGCTTTGTTTTCAGTGACTCTTAGTCATGTCCTTTGTGGATGAGTTACGTGGCTAAGGTTTGATCCTGCAAGCATGGATTGCTTCTTTCAGCATCCCCTCAGCGCCCACAGCAGTCAGCTGTGATTGAACTTGCTCAGCATTTCACAGGTTCAGATCTGCACTTACAGCTTTGTTATGCTCCCCGTGTGTTTGTGATCAGTAGTGCCAATGCAAACCTAAGGAATGCTAGAAACCATGAATGTCTTGGTGTGACAGATAAGCCCCTCTTCACTGGAGTTTAATGCAAAAAGAACTCCCCAGTCAAACCACCTTTCCAGGAGCAGCGTGTGAAATTCTGTTTCACCTTCAGTGAGGGTTTAGTAAGTGTTCTGTTAGGAAATGTGGGTCATTTGTAAAAAGGGCTTTGAAATGTACCATGCAGGTAAATTGAGGCACAAAAGGGCAGGCAAAAAGAAAAAAAAAATTAGGATTTCAAGCCCAAATTTTCTTTTGGCCTGTATATAAAGACAGAAATATTGTATAATGTGCACTAGAAGCTGGGTTTATCTCAGTTAATATTTATCTAGAAGTTTGCTACACACCAGCTGGAAGTCTAGGCATCAGTGGTAATGGAGACACCAGCTGAGGACAATTCACCCCACCCAATTCAGGGTGCAGTGAAAAGCTCATAGGACAGTCCTGTGTCTCCCCACTGATTACTGAAGAAGGCTGTACCTCAACGTGTTCATGATGTCTCAAGTTAAGTGCCATGAATCCTGCCCTAGGTGTGACATAGCAGGTGAAGGTATATTGCTGAAAGTGCAATATCCTTTTTTCCTGATTTTTTTTCAAACTCGCATTCTTTAATATTGTATTTGATTAGATTTTGTAAATGATGTTTATATAGTTTGTTTTGCTGTATTTTGCCTTTTTCCTCTGAAAAATAAGTATACAGGAATTTACATGGTTTTGCTTCTTTTACTCCTTGGTGCTTGTGTCTCTAATTCCACCTGTTTACCTGTTACAGAGCGTTACATTTCATTTCTGACTAATGTGGCATAAGAAGAATGTGACCAGATGATCTGTGTGCACACTGTGATCTGGGTTTAGTTCCAGGAAAACAGTGAAGCAGAGACACATGATGTTCCTCTCTCGAGCTCTGGAGAGGCCACTTTGCAGAGTGAGAGTTCTGTCACAGCCGCTTCGGTGCCTGAGATTGATAAGCATGCCAGCAGTGACTCCGAATGGACAGAAGTGCAGCCATCCTTTTGCTGGGGCTGGGTGGCCTGGGAGTGGTGGCTGAGGGGGTCCAACACCCCAGATTAGTTCCTCTCAGAGGAGAATGGTTGTAGCTCTGGGACAGGGTAGAAGAGTGCTCACTGTTCCAGCTCTGTAAGAAAGCACCTATTTTGGTGCTGACTCCTTGAAAAGGACTAGGGTGATAATATCATCTCACCAGGACCTGTGATTAGAAAGGCAATAGCATTGATCGTTGGTGATCTGTGTTTAATCCAAAATAGATGAGATGGAGAGGAGAGAAATGCCCACCACTGCCACTGTTAGGTTTCTGTGGTCCAAAAGCTTTGTGGAAGCTTGCTGGTCCCTTCAGTTTGCCTGATGTTGCTGACTTGGAACAGTTTTGTGGTTCCCCATTTTAAGCATCAGTTTGTATTGTCTAGAGGACTGCAATGCATTTTTGACCAGAGAGCATCTCTGCTGGCCTTCCAGCATTGAAAATAATTTCTTGTTTCTCTCCAATTGTTTTGAAAGCAGAAATTAAATTGTATGAGGATGCCCTGTGTTAGGAGACTCGTGATGAAAGTAAATCTTCAAGACTGCAAACCAAGCTTCAGTTCAGATAGCTACACAAACCAAGATCTTGGATTGCAGACCTGAAACTGGAAATCTGGACTAGGCTTTTCTTTGTTTTTGTTTCCATATTACCTAAAATCAATTCTGCCCACAGCTAGGAGGTAATGGAGCAATCACAAAAAAAAAAAGGAAATAACATTTATGAATGTTATTCATATATATTCATATACATAAATATAGTATATGATATTTATAGGTATCTTAATGGAAGGGTGAATTGTTATTCTGATTTACAAAACTTAAATGCATTGAAAAAAGTTTAGCTTCTTGCCTAAAAAATGACCATACCATTTGGCTGACGATCCATTTTCTAATGATAGACTATTTATTTGTTTTTAAATAACAGAAAAAGGCAACACGGTGATAATTAATGCAGAAAAGGTATGAACAGAAAATGATTTGGGTTGTCTTATAGCACAGCTGCTGGCCATCATTTTTGCAGGAACTGTTCCTCATTACTTCTCCACAGTAATTTTATTTTGCCAGAGATTCTTGTCCTTTGCAGCTTTATTGTAACACAATGGTGCATAGGCAGAAGAGGAAAAATGTCTTGGAAGAAGAGGATGGTTATGTTTTCCCAGGTGAAAATCAGTCTTCTGTGTCTCTGCATCCCTTGCTATTCTCTCCAGGGCTTGTCCACACAGGGATACACACAGTATGCATCAGCATGCTGATGGAAATAAAACAGTAGGAAAGAGTGATCTATTATTCAGCTGTGCCAGTAATACAATTTGTATAGAAGCTGCATAAAACTAACATGAAATTTAAAATCTGTTCTAGGCCAGATTCTCCTTCCTTTTTTTCACATACCATGGAGCTGTCTTTTCTCTTATGCCCTCTACTGCTTTGTTATTTTTTTGTTTATACCAAAGTAGCAATGTTTTCTCTGCCTTTTTATCCCCACTTCATAAATCCCTGTCCCCTTTATTTTTGTTTCTGGTAAAATTTCCAAGGTATGT